GTCTGTCTCTCTCTCTCTCTCTCTCTCTCTCTCTCTCTCTGACTGTCTCTCTCTCTCTCTCTGTCTCTCTTACTGTGTGTGTTTGTGTGTGTGTGTGTGTGTGTACTCTCATATCTCTTTTTTTTTCAAAATGGAGAACCTGTGTTTCACAAGATGAAAAAGGTTCTCCAGGTCACAAGTTCAGCGTGGTGTGAGTGGTCAAATCAAAAGGATGAGAAAGACATTGTGGAAGGCTCAGAGATAAGGGAATCAATCAGGGTAATGAAGAGAAATGAAAAACTGTCTCTCGGATGAACACGCTTTCTCCACTGGTCAGAGTTTTCTGTACAGAGGACTGCTTGTACATTACTCAGAAGCTTCCTCTCTAGGACTAGACTCTTTTTGTGTGGTTGACAGGTGCTCTCGTCTAGTTTGTTCCGCCTTTCCTGTCAAACATCTATTGTCCTTATCTCTCTCCTTCAGTTTTGTGTTTGTTACTCTTGTGATGTCCCTAATTTTCGGCACTTACATGAACTTATTGTGTTGCAAGTCCCGTAAAACACAAAAACAAAAACAAAGATTCTTCCTCATTCATTGGAGTTCTGTTTTGAAATCAAGTCTCCTGCAGTTCCTTATTTCTCAGAAAGTATTTAAATAAAAAATTTTACTTATCTGTATGCAACGACGGGAGAGACCCAACTTTAACAGGATTTGAGAATTCAATTTATGAAAAACTGGGTGGACAAAATCACCTCAGAGATTGTCATTGAAAAGAGAATGGTATGTTGTCCAGTGTCTCCTTGGACAGCAGAAAATTGTTTATGATCCCCTGAACTGTTGACCAAAGTGATGCTGTGCCATGTTACTCCACAGAAGTCCAAATTGTGAAAGGACCTTCAGTCCTGTGCAAAAAGCCAGAGAGACCTGTCATACATTTATCAGAAACTTCCACACTTGGACTAAACTCTTCCACATGCCCAAGTGCTGAAGTGCCGAGTTCAGATCCTCCATGTACTTGATTTCAAAAGAAGGCAGTAGCCTGTCACTGTCACACATTTCTTTCTCAAAATAGCTCTCGAGCAAGGCAAAACTGCTTAGGTGATGAGGGTCCAGTGAAAGAATCATGGCATGCTAACAGTGTATATATGGCAATACTGCCATAAGCTGACAAAACATCATTTCTTCAGAGCAGTTTCCAAAAAAAGTTTTTTTAAATCAGGGTAATCATTTAAAAAATAAAAATAGTCATTCCAAAATTTGAATTCTAATTTTTTTAAAAACATATTCACATTTTCAATTTGATTTTTTCACACAAGTAGGGTAACTGATCAGGCTTTCGATTTAGCAACAACAAAAATTTTGGCTCCAAAATGAAAAAAGGCGTTTTGTCAGCTTACAGCAGTATAATGGCATTAGCGAGTAATTAGGAAAACGTTGAATGGTGTATACGATAGTGCATGACTGGAAATTGATTCAGAGAGCACATCAATGGTATGGGAACCTGCGCAGTCTGTCTCATTACTGTGTATTGACATCAAAGTGTAGACCAGGTGGAACTATGAAAGCATTCCATGGAAAAGCAAAGGGGGCAGCCCTGTGTATGTGATGAAATATGTTGTTTTGAAGGGCAAATAACCTGTCAAATTATTTTTTATCAAGGAATAATTCTCCACTTTTGATTACCCAGATTATAATATCTCTATTTTGCCTTCCTCTGCAGACTGCAAAAGTTTTGTCAAAAGCTTCAACCGTTCTTTTCTGCCTTCAAGTTTTGAAGATGGGAGTTCGGTACAGAGGCCTGCCAGTATAAAACTTAACCCCCTGCAAAATGAATATGATAGTCAAAGTGGCAAGATGTTGCTGCCAGGGGTCGATATTGTGTGGGACTCTCCCATTTCAGGTATTGTTCTTCGTCTTGTTTCAATTTTTATTGACGCTCATGTTTTACTCGTAGTTGCCCTTCTGACCATGAGATAAACCCAGGACATGTAATTATTTCGCTGGGAATTCTGAATTCTTTCTCAGAGGGCAGTACACTGGGAAATTATTGCTCAGATCACAGGCTGTGCTGTAAAGAAAAAGATTGTTCGGAGCCTGAATGGCAACTGTGAGGACTTGGCCAACATTGTAAAAATAATTATTTCATTGTAGATTGAAATGAGATGGTTATGGGTAGGAGCAACCCTTGATTTTGCCGATTTTGTGTCAGGCTATGCACATTGAGATGTTGGCTGATTTTTTAAGATCAACCAGTTGTTTGTCTAAAAATATCATGGAAATAATTGAGAAAGTCTTTATTCTCCTCGTAAATTGCCTTGGAACACAAATGGGTGGGTTAATATAGTGAATTTTCACAATAATTGTCGTTTTTCGCAAAATGTCATTTTTTTTCTCCAGTTTTTTTCCATACTCCTTCCTTAGTTTTCATCATTTTGGCACGAAACTTTCTGGAAACATAGGTGGCAAGGCTGCCATCAATGTAATGGAGAGATATTCGCGAAAAAAATAACACTTTTCTATTGTCAAGCAATAACGCAACAGAAATTTAGACAAGTTTTTGTTACACTTTGGGAAAATTCTCATATTTTTTTTCCTTTTGTACTTATTGAAAAGTACTCGCTGTTACGCTGATAGGGTCTCGTTCAGGTATACTCTCACCAAATCCGGTCAAATTTGGTCAGTAAATAAGAAAGCCTTAGGGATTTGAAATTCCTTGTTTATTTTCAAGATGGCAGCTGATTCCATAGCAACCACTGTAGCTATATCAAAATAAAATTGCATATCAATAGATTTTACTATGCCTAACTTATATGTGTGCTTAGATTTTGATATCGAGCAACAAACACAGAAAATGGTCCTCAAGGGTCGCTCCTCCCGTTAAGTAGATAAACTGTCAGATGGATCCTGAGGAGAGAAAAAAATGGAGGGGGAGGGAAAAGATCAGCTATGGACATGAATGTTGGTGACGATCCTAACCTTGTATACATATATAGACTAAGAGATTGAAGTGAATGAAGAGAGATTATTTGGGGTACAGACTTTAGTTTCTCTAAAAATGTTGTGCAATTTTTCACATTGTCCACATTTGTCTGCTTTCTCATACTTAGATTTTTCTTCCAGACACTTTCTAAAACCTATGCACTGCTTTAGGCATCTTTGTAAAATCTTTTGTGTTCTTAAAAGTACATTTATGTCTCTACCTTTTGAGTCTGACCTCTTTTTGTTCCATCTGTTCTTTGCTAATCATTCACACCTCTCCGCTTTTTGCATTTAGACAGTGCCAAGGAGAACTTGAAAGGCTTTGTCCTTACCTATTGGACATTGGAAGGAGAGAAGGGAAGTGGTTGTAGATTGTTTCAACTTGATCCAGATAAAATGTCTTTTGGAAAAACGTGGCCCAAGGTAGGTGTAAATAATGTTCTCTGAAAATGCAAAACCAATCTGTGGTAGGAACAATGGAGTCACAAAATAAACAGTAGGCTCCACCATATCATGTCCAAATTGGGTCCACTAACACCTTCTGGTTTTTGCAGAAGAGATGAAGTTATATTAACTAAATTACACGTAAGTCATACCTCCCTGACATGTGTGTCCGTGCCGGTCAATATCAGTCACATGAAGGAAATTTCAAAACTGAGTTAATATTATTATAAAAAACTATCACCTTTCCCTACAATTAAAAAAAAAGAATGAAGTAAATATGACAATATTTGATGAAAATACGGAACTTTTAATTGTGCAAGGAGAGGAAACATGAAAAGGAGCCTCCAAAGTTGAGCGTTTCCATAGCAACGAAGATCTTAGAATTGAGATAGAGACTTGAAATTTAGGAGTTATCTTGGCTATGCCTCTGCAAGGCAACACACAGAAGTAGAAAACTATTAATTCACAGAGAAAAAACTTATGGAATGAACAAAACAACATTTTCACGAGAATGGACTTCATGTCAAATGCAACAAAATGTTAGCAGGTGCCAGATACTAAATTTTCAAAGTAGCTGTATGTCAAATTCATCTATTTCATGTGAAAGGCCTATGTCTTTTGAGAATTTTGGTACCATACTTTTACCTCTCTGTCAATTTTTAAGAGAATGGCAGCTGTTTCAATTTAACATAAATGATCAAATATTGTAAAGTTGTTAACTGGCTGCAATCCCATGTTTGACAGATAATAAAAGAGTACCAAGTGCACCTAACATCTCTACCTTAACAGAGTACAATCACAAAGCAAAGAAATGAAGCCAATTTTTTTTTTTTAACTATGAGATCATTACAAATCAGTATTTTATTGCCTTAAACACAATGGTCTGTCATTATTTCAACAAAACACCAAGCGTTGTCCCGGCCGGCGTGGCACCAGCCCTCGCGGCAAACGAGTCGGCTCAATAGGCCTATTGTAGTATACTGAGTGCTACCGATAGTTTCACGGAAGAATTCATGCAAAATAATTCCAAGCCGATGACTTTATTCTAATAGAAATAGAACTGTTCTTTCTATTGGTACCTTCTTTTAGCTGGTATTTTACACATTCCATGTTAAAAATGATTTTTGAAATCGAAGGCGCTTTTTTTAAAGGGAGTGTATACAGACCCGGTAACCGGGGACAAAGTCACAAAGTATACAGACCCGGTAGGGGAACTCTTTTGTGATTTCGGAAAGTTTCAGCACCCTCTTGGCTCAGGGTAGACCACAGAATTATACACTTGTAGACCTAGGTTCTTCTAGATCTATTCTATGGCCTAGGTCTAGATCTAGACAGACAGACATAAATCATTGATCTAGTTTCGAGGCTAGCCTAGATCTAGATCTAAATGAAGATTGTGGATGTCTTTTCGATGAACGATCGTTTTTCCTCCGTTTTGGAGATGGGAGAATCACAATTTGAAGAAAAGAACAACATAATGTCATAATTTCAATCGAGCAGTCCCCCCCCCCCCCCCCTCTCTCTCTCTCTCTCTCTCTCTCTCTCTCTCTCTCTGTCAGTGTATCGCTTGCATTCTCTTTTTCTTTGCTTGTCTCTGTCTTTCTTTCTCCCCACCTATTTCCCACTCTGTCTTTCTCTGGTGCCCTCCTGCCAACTGTGGCATGTCATAATATACATTTTCCTAGCACTTCTCTCCCCTCTCTCTCTCTCTCTCTCTCTCGCTCACACACACACACACACGGACACACTACCGGGTCTGGGCGCTGAAACTTTCCGAAATCACAAAAGAGTTCCCCTACCGGGTCTGTATACTTCGTGACTTTGTTCCCGATTACCGGGTCTGTATACACTTCGTTTTTTAAAGGCTTTTCTATCCAAACGCCAAAGTGCAAAAATATACCATGAGAAACCACGCTCAAAGCTGTATTGTTCTCGTCAATGAAAAGACAGTATTAAATCGTCAGTCTTTCTGCAAAGCATTCGAATTCTGGGTGTCAATTTTGAACCGGCCGACTTCACATTCCGACTGCGAGGGGCTTCCCTTTCCACGTGGATTCTCCAGCTCCAAATACAGTCGAACCTGCCCTGACGGCCACCTCCATAAGACGGCCGCCTGTACAAGGCTTTCCATTTCCCCCTTTGCATTTTTTCTATATAATTTAACTGTGTAAAATGGGCATCCGTAACACAGCACCCTTATCACACCAAGCAATAACACCTGTCTTAGACGGCCACCTTAGTGACTCCATTACGTTTTGTCATAAATTGTGCATTGGCCCCTGGCGTTGTGGGCGAGCTGTCATAATTCAATCACCTGTTGTTGTTGTTAGGTAGTCCCTCCAACTGATCATGTTGCGTAGGTCCCTCCCACTGTTGACCAATAGGTAACAAATTTTCATCTGCTTGTGAGGTAAGCATGTCATCCCTCATAACCCATAAGTTCCGCCCAAAATTTACACAAATCGCCAGTTAGATCAGTGGTCACTGTTTACCCAATCTGTAACAAAGTAACTATGGGTCAACATGAACTTGTGACAGAAGTGTCGCTCGTTCTCCCAGTGGTGGCGACCCATGTGTTTGTTTTACCATAACACTCAGTCCTCCTTGTCTGACACATTTCGTTTTATTGTCCTTACACAAAAGCAGCAACAAAAGAAAAAAAAAGAACCCCCCCCCCCAGCAAAAACAACAAGAACCACAACAACAACAATAACAACAACAAAAACAATGTTGCTACATTCGGTTGAGACCTCAGAAAAGAATGGTTTGTTTTCTTCAACTTGATCAGTCCTGCCTAAGACGACCTCCTGTCTTATACGGCCACTTTTCTCCATGACAATGGGTGGCCATCTGACACAGGTTTGACGGTTCTCGGCTATACAAACAACTTCCATTATTGTAACAAAGAAAATCTGAATTTTTTTCAAAGTGTACAGCATTTGGTGTTTTATAGCAAAAGAGCAAAGAAACGGTGATCTGAATTACCCCCCTTTCACCGAAACCACGCGCTCGGAAGGCCATGAGTCGGCTTATGTGCCATGTTTAAGCTACCTAATTATAAGTTTGCAATAGCACTATAAACACACGAGAGCACAGAGATACACACACACACACACACACACACACACACACACACACACACACACACACATACAAACACACATACTCACATGCACATAGACCCCCTCATGACCTCTTGATAAGGAGTCCTCTTTAAGAGATCTAGAGCTAGAGGAGGGCTAATTAATCTTTTAAAAGCACTAAAACACAATAAGAACAATTTTTTATAGTCAATCCATGTGTAAAATTGAAAGATCAACAGACGATAACAGCTTGCAGGACACGCCCTCACAGTCAGCTGTTTACGTAAACAAGCTTGATGTGAGCTAGAAGTTACCAATCTTACCCTGTTTAACCAATCAGAGCCGTCAGTCGTGCATAGTGACAAGTTGTTTACGTTTCAGACCATTCATTCTTGAAAAGGGGTCAAAATCTAAAAATAGTTGCGAATGAAGAAGATTGAAGAAATGGTGGCCGTGTAATATTGGTTCTGAAAATAATCTCACAGCTACACACCAGCAAGGTCAAATTTCCAAAATGATCTGGCTCATCCTATGGTATTTCCATACTTGGCAAAGATCCGAAAGAAATATTTAAAATATACTACTACATTTAAGATTTTGTTCTCCATCGTTGTTCACAATAGAATTTTTTTAAAAATGTTTTGTTCTTTACTGTAAAATGTAAACTTTGTTATTTTGAACGTGTAAAGTATTGCTTTTAAAATTGATTTTTTACTGTGTATTTTTAGATGTACTTTAAGCTTTTCGACTTTGTAAAGTAAAGACCAAGCCAAGCTGTGAATTAACATGAAAACAACCAACTTGAGTCATGTTGACTCATATGACCTTATGCAGTTGTAAGCACTGTTAAACTTTTAACAATCTGAAACTGAAATGAGAAGCGATTTTTTAAAATCAGCTTCTCCATTATTATTTTTTGGCAGTCCTAATTACTGTGTGTTGGTGGTTACTAGTCAGAATTAAAAAAAAAATTTCAGGGTCTTTGCAACTGTCCTATTGTCCACAGATGATCCATTGATATATACCATTTTACGTTATTGAATCGCCTTTTTGAATTTGATAAAGAATAAAACTGAAATTTTTTGTCAATGTCAGCTGAGGTTCTCCTACGAGCTTCAGTACGTGTATTCTAACACGACCCTGACTACCACTGTGTACAGCATTCCCACACCGAAACCGGGGGATCACTTAAATACACAGACGTTTCAGCGGACTGAAATGAGGAGCAGCCAGTCTCTTCGTGAGTATATGATATGATGAGATGTCCAGATAATGAGACGTCAGATCATACAGTTTTCAGTTTGCCCATAAAATCATAGATGGAAGATGGAAATCTATTGATGGCTTCACGAAGACCTGCAGCTCTACCTGGTTTGATCAGAATGCTCAGACTGTTTTTTCTTCCAAGCAAGAATATGTTCCAGCGAGGAATGCACTTTTACTTATAATCTTCGTCTGTATGTACCATTGTTTACTAGTTTGTTTTGTTTGAACATTAGCTACAAGTGGAGAAAGTGTTTGTATAAGAAGGGCCTAAATAATGTATTTTATAAGGTGTATGTGTTTGTTTACACATTTATAAGTACTTGTGTCTCAGAAGAGTAGGAGGGAGTGAGACTGCTCATGTTTATAGTGTATGTATCTTTAGCTTTTTGCAAATATGCCAACACCTTGTCAATGAAGTTGTGTCTGACTTACTTGCTTTATCTTGTACATCGGCATGTGGTGTGGTGGATAGGCTCTTTTGTGCCACATGTAGAAGACCTGAGTTTGATTTCCAAGTGGGGAGAACATTTTTAAAAATATATTTTGTATCCCTATAAGCGTGGGTTGGCCTTGACAGGCAGGGTCAGAAGCCTGCCTCCTACATGATCTAAAATGTGTCAATGGGGGCCTTTAAACCATCTAAATTATTTATTTTATTTATTTATTTTTTAAAAATTGATCTATCTTGTACATTGTTTTTGCAGCTTTGAATGACAAGCCTGGTTATTGGGTACCTAGTGTATCCTTGCAGGCTGGAGGAAATGGTAAACTGGATGTGGGTCTGAGCCTCTCCCCAGCACTCTACAATTTCACTGAGTTTGATCTGAAGTTACTCAAGAGGTCCGTTAGTGAAGTGAATTATTTCAAGAAGGTTGTCTTCAGGACTCAGGTGAACTATATTGGTTTTCTTGTTCAGTGAACTCATAAAGATAGTTTGTAATAACACACGTTCTGTTGCTGTTTAGTCTTACAGGGGTGTCCACTTAAGAGCAACTGTGCATAACTGTACTGCCCTGTGATAGCACATTAAATCAGTTGAAAATTGTTGCTACCTATTTTGTCCCTTTTCAACATAACATCACCAGTTCCCGCGAAAATAGTGTTGATAGGAGCATTAAATCCATACACTTAAACTTTTGCACCCTGTGATTAGGACTCGTGTGTGTATGTGTGTGTGTGTGTGTGTGTATGTGTGTGTGTGCAGTTGAAGAGGGTGGATGTGCGGGTGGAAGGTTGCACACACACACGCACACTCACACACACACATGCACGCACCTTAAAAATTTAGTTTGCTACAACCAGGGGTTGCTTCCCAAGAGAGTTGTTGTTAGGCGGAAACCTCTGTACAGTGTTCATGAGTAAGTCTTATAATTAATTGATAAAACCCATGTAGTCCTCCCAGCTTCCAGGGCTGATGCACCTAAATGTTTAGGCATCGGTAGTCTAGTCATTAGGCTACCGGACTCGTACTCGTGAGGTTGCGGGTTGGGGGGTTCGAGCCGCGGAACCGACGTTGTGTCCTTGGGAAAGGCACTTTACACGAATTTTCCCCGCTTCACCCAGGTGAAAATGGGTACCCAGCTATAGACAGTGAAAGATCTGGTCAGTTTGTTAGTGTTTGAGCGCTTAACCAGCTGCTTGCACTGTATGCTTCCTGGGAAGCTAAGAATGTTTCTGAGTGTTCTATGATCTGCTGGGGTAATAAAATAGTGTAAAGTCCATAGAGCTTGCTTTCGAGTGGGGATATGCGCTATACAAATGCTATTTATTATTATTATTAGGCAAAGTGTCCTGGGCTCTCTTACACCACCTCAGTGTGCAGAAGAATAAAGGAAGGGTGCACTGAGACATTCTCTGGGGCCTATACATTGTTACCCAAGGTGTGAAGAAAATAGGCTACGACAAGAAGTTAGGTTTGATTCCTTCTTAGAATGTTCACCAGTGTCCAGCTTTTAGCTCATGACTTGACTAAGGGGGAAAGTCATGGCTTGAAGGTGGAGACTGTAAATATAGAGGGGGAAAAATTAAAGTTTATTTTGTGCATTGCAGGTGGCATCTGCGAATAAAAGCTCTGACCACTTTGTCTTTGAAGATCTGGAGGCCGATATGTACAAATTAGTGGTGAGTGTTCATCATGATTTATTTGTTTCACCTTTTATCCTAAAGTTTTACATGAAAATTTTTTTTTTTTATTCATGTGCCAATTTGAGATGTATAGTATTGATGTGAGAGCTTATTTACTGAAGAATATTTGTTTTTTCTTACATGGTTTCTTTTGTTCACAGAGATAATCAAAGCTAATTTTTTTTCAAGTCTATGTCTAAACAGATGTTTAAAGCAATAATTTTTATAGTAGTTTCTGTATATCATGCGTAAATCACCCTTCGCTTGGAAAATTGGTATTGCAGTGTCACTTAAAAGTTACAAAATTTCCCCCTAGATACACTCTTTTGCATCCTCATCCTCTTTAGAACGGGGGAGTGAAAATTAATCACCACTCATTTTATGGCACTCAAATAGCAACTTAGATGAGTTACCCATTTTATCCTTCTTACATCACTGAATTAGTGGATTCAAAGTCAGGTTATTTTAGTGTGGTATAGATTCTAATTCTCTTATTGAAATTCTTGCTTAACTCACTGGAGACCGGGCCCTTTTCGGATCTACATGCACATTTTTTAGGGTATTTCAACATTTCAAACAACCCCCCTTCCCAAAGACATACAACCACCATTTTTACACTCATAACAGATCTAAACATGCCCGATATGACACAAAAAACAGAAAGGCAATATCTTTTAGGTTTTTAAAAAAATATTTTTTGGAAAATATGCTCAAATTTGTTGCTCACCAAAATTTTTTGACATAATGTCTTGTGTAAAAAAAAAACCTCCAGCAAAACCCCCCAAAAATTAACCTTGTGTGTGTCTTTTATTGTGTCTTGTGTTTCAAAATGAATAAAAAGTCCAAGCTCATGAATAGGCAGGTAATCAATATGGTAATCCTTATGTATTAGCTGTCTAATCCACTTCAGTGTGAAAAAATCAGGTCTCCAGACAAAGCGGAATTTTGCATTTGAAAGCTTAGTCTAGATCTAGAACACTCTCTATCAGAATCAGTGCTTTGATGCTCTTTTACATTGAAATCAGGATCCCCATGGTCTAAAATATCAGTATCAGAATTTTCTGAACTGTCAAAGTCGTCTAACACTTGAAAAATGTTCGCTTTTTCGTGCTGCCAGGTGGGTGACTGACGGGTGCTCTGGTGTGGTTTGCTCCTTCTTTCCGATCAAACAACTCGTCCTTGTTACAGGTCTCCCAAACTCAATATTCACTGATAATGGTCCTACTTGGACAAGTTCTCAATTCCAAAAGTTCATGGTTGCCAATGGGATTCAACACATTCTAGTGTCTTCATATCATCCATCATCAAATGGATTAGCAGAAAGAGCAGTCTGAACATTCAAGTCTGCTATGGTGAAAATTCAACATGGTACATTAAGAGAGAAAGTCTGTAGGTTCTTAACTAAATACAGATCCACTCCTGATACCACAACAGTTTTGTGTCCATCAGAATTGATGATGGGTAGAAAAATTAAGACCCATCTTGATTTGTTCCACCCTGCTGTACAACCCAATGTCCATACTCAACAAACAAACCAGAAAATGTATCATGATAATCATGCTTGTGCTAGAGATATTGTATTGTATATGGCCTCACATTATAAAAAGATTAATACTTGAAAAGAAGACGAAAACACACAACTGCTCTGTTGCCTGCCTGCCGATGAACTGATTTTATTGTTTATTTTACCCTGAAATCTCGTGTTAATTAAAAAAAAGACACTATGTGACGTATCAAGATGGAGAAATAATTGTGATATTCAAGAATAGTTATTTCAACATTCGCAAAATAGTTCATTCCCATTTTTACATTTCATAACATCAGTCATACTTTACATTCCCCCCTTCTTAGTTTATCAAGCCATTTTTCAATTTTGAAATAAAATAGTATAAAGGTTCATCTGGTACTTCAATTTTGACTTCATCAGAAATTGTCATGGTAACATTATAAGCATAGTAGGCGGTAGATAACATTGAAGGATATACAGTTGTAACCAAAGTAAACACAACTTTGAACGAAGCGATACACACTTGTCATGTAGCTTCAGTAAATACACATGATATGACATGTATAATACTCAAAACGCATACACAGTACAAAACAATGACTCTTCATTTTTGTTTTATACTTAAAATGAAAAAAAAAGGCATTTGGCAAATTCATAGCACTAAACATGGGCTTTTTGAATCCTAGTGGACCTTCTACTTCTCAGAGGTGGTGTTGGTGATATGCTAGGGGCATCTTGCACAGGTTGTCTAGATATATCATTAGTGCAATCATTTGCTTTTGAAGTTTCATTATTACTTACTCCTCCCTTCTCAGATGGAAGAATGAGAATTTGAATTTCTTCTGTTACATTTTGTCTTACCTGCTCATTGATTTCACTTGACTGAACAGAAACATTGTCAATTATGTCATTCTCAGTTATGTCATTCTCAGTTATGTCATTCTCAGTTATGTCATTCTCAGTTTGAGATTGTGGTACAAACTCATTTGAATCAAAGTTTGAAACTTTAATCTTATCTTAATGTCTCTTGAGAACACCATGGGAGGGTGTTTGAACTTTGAAAGAAACAGGACCAGTTTGTTCAACAATTTTTCCTGGTATCCTTTTGGTTTTGCTTGAGTAATTTCTCACAATCCCATTATCAACGCCATAATGTGACAGCTGCATATGGCCTCACATTATAAAAAGATTAATACTTGAAAAGAAGGCGAAAACACACAACCGCTCTGTTGCCTGCCTGCCTGCGAACTGATTTTATTGTTGTTTATTTTACACTGAAATCTTGTGTTAATTCAAAAAGAGACACAATGTGACGTATCAAGAAGAGGAAATAATTGTGATATTCAAGAATGGTTATTTCAACATTCGCAAAATAGTTCATTCCCATTTTTACATTTTGTAGTGTCAGTCATACATTACAGTCCTGATCTCTCCTCCTTCTTTTTTTGTGTTTGTTACTCTCTTGTAACCCCCTGTAAGCTTAAAAACAACAAAGTTGTGCTTCCACATATCCTTTCTTGTTGATTGGCTGAAATGTGTCAAAACTTAATATTGTTTGATTGAAAGCTGATTGCAAATGGTGTCCAGTGTTACATTTGAGCAAAATTTGCAGTTCTGTTAAGTAGCCTCAGTCGAGAATGTACTATCATAATCTCTTTTCTCTTCGTGTGCTACAGGTGCAGCCTAAAGAACTATTTCCAGATGAAAGCAGACAGTGCTTGTGTTGGGACGAAGAGAATGATGTGACTGGGGAGAGACACTGTAGGTTGAACTGTGACTCCATCATGACCGGCTGGGTCAACCTCACAGATGGATACACAGGTATATTTAATTCACTATTTGTATCCCCGGAAGCCGAGAATGTTTTGAGTGTTCTATGGTCTGCTTGGGTAAAAATAGTTGGGGGGGGAGGGGTTCATCGAAAGCAAGGAAAATGAACAGGCTGTAAGATTAATTCAGTACCTCGGTGCTTCCACTCTTCCGTATTTTTACGGAAATCCGCACTTTCTGCCAGTTCCGTACTTGTTCCTCCATATTATCAACTCCCTCCGTAAAAAGCTGTGACGGGTGCAGGACTACCGAAATTCTGTAGCAAAAGATCCGTACTCACCTTTGTACCGTCATGTATAAGTTACGGATATTTACGGTAATTCTCTCGGCAATAAGTTAATGTTATAGAAACCTGCCAGATTGCGCATTTCCTGCAATCGGCCATTATTCCGCTATGCCCCATGCATTCATTGCGGGCTTGTCGGCAGTACATTTTTACCTGTGGATTGATCAAAATCTGGGGAACTTTTTGTGCCAATTTCCTCCTTTCTATCATTCACTCATTCCGTCTGTCTATCGTCGGATTGTTGCCGCGGCTGGAAAATCTGCACGTTGATCAAGTAAATTGACTTGTGATCTTAGACAGAAAATTGCTGTCAGAAAGAACCTTTTTTTACAAATTTGTCTTGATCTAAAGAAATGATCAAAATGAAGATTCTACGGGACGGGAACGCGATGAAAGAAATTTATGCTAAAACTTAGTGAAACTAGCCTAAAACTATTAAAGTCAAGAATAATTCGAAGTGGTGTTCCGAGGTTGTGACATGCGACATTCAGGCGTGAAATTTAAGGAAAATTAGGCTATACGCCGGGTAACTGTATTGTGAAGGTACATATATTTATTTATTATTCCCATGTTTGCCTTCTATCAATGGTGCGATGACAAATTAATTGAATTATAGTAGCAGTGCTTTTAAACATTGCCATCAATGGAAATATATTATGTTGATCTTGGTGAAGAAATCAAACAAGACAATTTTGGTGAAAAAATAAATGTTATTGTTTGCAGGCAATCTCTTCAAACAGGCTCCCAAATGCCATTTTCAACCCTCTAAAAGCACTAAATTTCAATTTCCCCTAGGCCAACCACCAGAATTTTCCTAACTTTTCAGCTTCAGCTGCTGGAAGCACTGGTAACTCAAAACATTTATGAGGGCCTGATTCCAACATATTAAGACTCGAGAAAATTTTCATTCCATATGGAACATACACATAATATTTCTTTCTTTTTTTTTCTTTTTTTCTTTTCTTTTTTTTTTACAGTATTTAGTTTGTACTGATGTAGGGTATGTTTTTGTGTATGTGTGTGTGTGTAGAATTCATCCATGCTGTTCCTTGTCAAAATATATTTCCATCTTGTTATAATAATTTTTTCCCCCTTTTTTTTCCTTTTTTTTTTCAGGCGGCTTTTTGTCTCTTGTGAATGAATGCCTGTTTATCGAATGAGTTTAGTTTTGATTAAATATTGTTAACAAATTGTCATTCGTTAAGAATGAGCTTGCTGGTATTAAAAGACACCAGTGATACATTAACATCTTGAATATCCCCTTTATTGATACTTTCTTTTTTGTCTTGCTTTTTGAGAATAAGTCATCACAGAAAATGCTCACTAGTGTTAAGTCCTTTTTCGTTTACTTTTCAGGACCAACCAGCAGTTCCTCGAGCCCAACCACCACTTTCCCCAGCACTTCCTCTAGCAAACCAGCCTCGTCTGATATGTCTGTTGGCAGTATGAAAACGGACTCAACATTTATAATTGTAACTGTGCTTGTGACTGTTGCGGTTTTTGTCCTCGTGTTGCTGGCAGTGTGTTGGTACAAGCGCAGATGTCAATTCCGTACTTGTAAGTGTTCCAGCAATAAACAAGTTTGGTGCCATTTTCTTGTTTCGTTCATACTCCTTTTTTGTGAGTTTTCAGACAAACCCTTTTTATGACCATCTGGACAGTCCTTTTTAGATGGAAAACATGTCCACACTCCCTTTTGGTTGGGGTTTATGAGGGTTTGGGGGGGGGGGGGTGTTACTTCCCATGAGTGCTGTGCGATTTTGAGGAGGAAAAAAAACTGCTTCGAAGACTAAATGATGCCTGTTTTTTAACTGGCCGCGGCCGTGGTTTTGCGCATCTCGGTGGTGATAAAATGTTCGAAGAAAGAGGCAACAAGGACATGAGAGGGGGAGTCATAAAAGGGGGCGAGCACGTGGCCAGCATGACTCATAATACTCATTATATTTCCTTTCATTGGTCCCTGCCGTACCCCCTCTGTGCCTACAAACCCAATGTGCAAGCCTAACGGACCCCGTGTATCTGGTGGCTGACTGATATAAAAAAAAATTTTAAAATCAAAACACGACTGTCAGTCCCCTGGCCTTATCCACGCACAACATGCTGCCATTGTGCAAGGGGAGCTAAGTTTGATTATTCCAGCCTACAAAAAAAAACATTCGCTCTGCTTCGAAGCGCTGGTGGGTAGTAAGGGGAGCTAAATTAGCTAAGTATCCCTGCATACAAAAAAACATTCGCTGCACTTTGAAACAATGGTGGGTACCCATATAGCCTTATGCTTCAAATGTCGAATTATGCAAGGGGAGCTCAGTCAGTAGGCCTATGTCAGCCTATGCAAAGCCTATGCTTCGAAGCGATGGTCTGTTGAGTTTTTAATGGTATCACGGGTGCCTCTTAGAGGCATGTTTTATAACTCATGCTGGCTCCTCTTATCACTGTCGCGTAATCATCTACTTGAACGTAATGCTGAATTTACCACGGTGAATTTAGACATTTTATTATAAAATTTACAAGAAATCCATTATGAAAAAAAATCATACAGCATTCTTGCCACGCTTGGAATAGCCGTGAATAGAGCGAAAATCGTGAATGTCAAATAGTGAAATCAAATGGGCTCAGCTCTACCTCCCATCAGAAAGACAGGGATTCTCTGTAAAATGTCAGTCTTATGTGGTAAAGGAAATTATGCCCTGTTTGTGCTAGAAGAAGAGCATGATCTTTTAGACCAGTCTGTAGTGGGTAAGGTGCTTACCCCTAGGACAAATGGTTGATTGGACAATCAGTTCTTACAAGCTTGGTTAGATGACTTCGGGCTTTCACATCATGCTATGTTCCCAGGATGGATGGGTACCTAGTCTTTTTGTAGGATGGAAAATTAAAAAATTTTGCATGCTTGTTGGCATGCGTTTGATGCTCCTTGAAAATTTAAGTAAAAAGAGGAAATCTTTCTGGCCCTGCTCAATTCCTAAAATTAATGCCAATTTGAAATTGTAGAGACTACAGATATGTAAGGGTACTATCAGAAATGATGAGGGACTCTGTGACCTCAGGGAAAGGGGGGGGGGGAATGGATACTGTAAATACTGGTTACTTTGTGAGGTTTGGGAAAGCAGATGAGTTGTCTCTGAGCTCAATTCTTTGAATCCAGACCTTGACTTATGTGACATTTTATTATCTGCACTTCTGCTTATCGCCACTCAAGTGGGATATTGGGGGTACCGATTTCGTCAACCCCAAGATCTACACCTGGTCTTGTGCAAAATTTACCACCTATATTCACCCATATTGTGATATCTCTGTCCAACTACGAAAAGTTTGTGTACTCACACAAACGTAATCCATCAATAGTGGACTGAATTATAACCGTTTTAAGGTAACACCGCCTCAAATTAGGTACTAGAATTGTGGAATCCCTTGGGTTTGGAAAGAGTTCTAAAAAGTGCATAGTGACTGTTTCAGAAAAATCCTATGTTACAGAGGTGATTTCTTCATAAATGTGCCTTCCACATTATCCTTTTTTCCTTCTACAGGCATGAAGGATCTGCTGTCTGGAAAGGAGAAAGAGAAGGCTCTGCAGTCCCTGAGGGAAAAAGGCCCTTTTGCTGGTCCTCCTAGTCCAGAGATTGGTGAGTCAGTTGTTACATTGCAGTGTAACCTTGCCATGGTCACTTTTTTGCATTTGGCACAAGCCATCTGAGATCTACTCTAAAGTTTTGTTTTGATGATTTCCAGACCTGGGATTGAAAAAGTTTCCCAGGGTTGAAAGAGCTAATGGGGTTCTTGAGGTGCATTGTTTTAGGGTGTCCCCAGAGGACATGGGAGTGGCTTGTATTTTATGCGTATTAGGGTTAGAGCTCTTTCATGGTTTAGAGGCCATATGGTGTTCTTGAAGAAGGGTCATGAATAAGTGATGTATTGAATACTGAATAAATACTCTTATGGATGTAGTCTAGTTCCATCACTGCTTATTGTTGGGACTGCCTCTTATCTAAAAAGTCCTCTTTCTTTAGTTTAGTTTAGTATAGGGTTTTACGGCGCTCGCAACTGCATAGGTCATATGAGCGCGCGGGACACACCTAATATTTTTCAGTTGGTAGGAAATTTGGAATTTTGCCCGGGTGGCGGCCGAAGCCTACTCTTGTCGATTTTAGACCACCAAGGGATCTTTAGCGTGCGCAACTTGCACACGGGCCCTCCGAGATTTTTCGCCCTTGTCCGAGAAGGCTAGGTGTAGATCTTTCCTACCAGAAGATCAGGGGTGTGGCAGAAAGACAGCAGTTAGGAGGAGCCAAGGAGTAGCAGTAGAAAGGCTGCAGAAAGAGCCAGGAGCCCAGAGGAGGGGGCAAAGGAGGTGAGGGGGTGGGGGCAGAAAGTGGAAATGAAAGCAGACAACAGAACATTGCTAGAGATCAGGAAAGGATGGGAAAGGAGACAATTTTAGAGAAGAAAATTTTTTGGTCGCTACCCGGAATCGAACCCGGGACCTTTGAATGAGAGGCCAACACCTTAACCTCTAGGCCACGAGAGCCCCCCTCTTTCTTTTGTGTGGTTGCCGGCATTGTGGTGGTTGCATTTCTGTGGACACAAGAAAAGTTTTGAATCATTGTCCGTTTTTTAATACAGGTTTGGGTAGAAGTCTATTTTAGCCTTTCCATTTTTCTGAACCTACTTGACCTACTATGCGTATGAAGGGTCTCCACTCTCTGTGGGACCGCACGTTGGTCACTGTTATGTCATGTGCAGTAGATGCTTTTAACTTGAGGCTCAAATTTCCTTCTTTTTTTTTCAGGTTTTAATACTATTTAGCATCTGTGTGCAGCTTTATTATTTAATCATCTGCTTATTATTATTATAAAGCTATCAGAATTTTGATTATGTATCTCGCTTAACACTCTTATTGTTAAGTTATGCGTGTGATTGTGAGTCTTGTTTGTGAGTGCAACAATGCTTTTATATTTTTATGTGTATCATAGTGTATGTGTACAGGTGTGTGTGGAAGATATGATGTGTGAGTATGTGTGTGTGTGTATATACACAGAGACATGTGTGCACTGTGTAACGCCAAACCAATGTGCCAGCATTTGGACAATGAAGATTAATCTTATCTAAGCAATGTTAGCTGGGTTAATTTTATAGACTCAGTCTAGATACATTTCTCAGAAGGTCTATAGGTGTCATATAATTGTCTCCCTTGCAGTTATGTCAACAGATCAGAAAAGCGTCATGCCTCTGAGTGTGAAGACTATTTACGTGCTGTATAGTGAAGACCATGAAGATCACATCAGCCTAGTGGACTCTTTGGCCAATTTTCTGCAAGTAAGTTTTGTTTTTAAAAATATCCATGCTCCCTGGAGGGGGAGGGGGTGTTTTTTTTTAACAAAGCTGGGAATCAACATGTAAGTTACTTTTGTTACATTTTCATATTACCATGAATACGTTGTGTTGCTTCAAGTCGTTAATTATGGTTTTCTGGTGGCTAGTGAAATAAGAATCATGGGGTGATTTTTTTAGCGAGTCCATTGGTCACTCCTCAGATGTGTTAATGGAGGTTCTGAATCTCACAGTTTATCGTAACCCTTCAAGTGTCGATAGCCGATTGAATCAGCTGTAAAATTCGTCCTGTGGTGTCTCGGATGATTTAATTGGTTGCAATTTCAGTTTCCATTTTGGTGGGTTTATTCCATGTTTTTTTCTTTTTTCTTTTTTTGTATCACAAAACATTTTAACTCCTCCACAAGTGGGGTCTACTTCCTAGGTACATTGTACTTTCTGAACATGTAAAGTATTATGGCTTTCACTTGCTCGTTTTGACTATTCTCGGTAGTCATTGGGCCTTTGTGAACCTTTTTGAGGCCCAAATCTTGACTTCTACACTCAAAAAATAATGCTTTGAAGTATGTGAGCATGTGAGTTATTATAATTAAATTTTTTTTTTTATGTTGTGGTTTATTTGCTGTGAATGCCGAGAGGAGAAAAAAGGTCGAATGTACCAAAATTGTGGAGTCCATAGAATGGAAGCGTAGTGTACACTTCGCTAGTCTGGTCTTAAAGTTTGATGGTTGTTAAGTTTCTGCTTATGTTGATCAATTACGTTGCCTCTAAAACCGCTAAACTTTTAACGGTTTTTTATATTAGTATCTCATGCCTCGCTTTGAGCTCAAATGAACTCTTTCTAATCTTTTTGCCAGGTTCATTGCAGCTGTCGTGTCATCTACCGGCGCTGGTGCGACCTCGGGCCGGAGCAGGGTGGGCTGGCTTGGGTGGTCTCCAACATCAACAGTTCGGACCTGGTGCTTTTTGTGGCTTCCCAGGGAGCAGAGAAGTTTTTGGACGCACAGCTGAGCAAGAAGGTGTACCGCCAGCGTCGTTTGGGACCTGAGGGAGACCTGTTTCTCCTGGGCGTACAGAGATTGTTGAGTGATGGGAATGGCTCGTGTAATCAGTGGGACAACGTGGTGCCCGTTCATTTTGGCGAAACCAGGTGTGTAGCCCAAGTTTTATTTTCAGCTTATTGTAACGTACTTCAGCATAAATATCTCCTTTGCTGTGGACTCATTTTCTTTATGTTCTCCATGTCCAGGCCTGGTGTGTAGGGTATTAATTCATTAGGAAGACGCTTCAAAATGTCTAGCGGTTGAAAAGAATATGCACACCGTCATTTTTTTCTCATTAAAAATTATTATTTTCTATGAAAGATCAGTTAATGCTTTAATTTTTTAAAGGTTTTTATTTTCAACAAGGACCTTATATTCGATTTTCTCAGTGTACTTTCCATAGGGCTTTTCACAAAGCATTAAAAAAATAATTTTGTGTGTTTTTTCTTGTTTTTCTTTTTGTTAGTCATTTTTGGTAAGGCTTTTTGATTTTTGAATCGCTAAAATATCACTGAAATGATAAAAAGCAAGTTGGGAAAGTTTTTAACTCCATGCCTATGCATGCTGCAGTCAGTTTTGTTTCACGTGCCTACCTTTGCCGCAGCAGTTTTCAAGTTCAGAATTTATTTTGTCATGTTATTACCACAGCTTTATCCATATACTTTATCAGTTATTTGTGTCACTGTAATTTTTATATGCAATGAAACTGGGAGATTTGCTGGGTAGGCAGTAAGTTCAATAAAGAAAATTTGGGCTATTGTTTTTTTATTATTTCTTTCTCTATTTGTTATCAGGTAAACTTTAGAAATTTTGCCCTGTCTCTCAAATTCAAAATCACATGCATTTGCACACATACTCATTCCTTCCGAAGAAAAATGACATGCTACTGATACTAGAATACATTTAAATGAAATTCTTCTCTCCCCGTGGCGACAGATGGTGCCGCCAACAGATGCTGTTCCCACTCATGTACCAGCTGCCCTCACACCTCCCGGACATGGTGCAGAAGATACATAAGCTAAGCCCCAGTGCTGCCAAGGCTCACAGTGTGAGTTCTTTTCCCTGTCTTGTTTGCTTTGAGTTGAGGAGAAGCTTGTGTTGTGGATGGGTTAACTGTTATTTAGTGTTGAGGGAAGAAAACAGGCTACGAAGGGCTTTGTAGTTGGGTAATTTTCTATTAATCGTATGAAGAAAAGGCAAAGGAGTAATTTTTAAATATCTTTTGGGGAAAAGGCAAATGAGTAGAGGACTTGCAGACAACCTTCATGGTAGCTGACTTTTTTCCCATATTTGTAGTTTTTTGATGTTTAAAAAAAATCATTAACTTGTTTCTTTGAGTAAAAGAGAAATGCATCAAAATGATCGGAAAGTGCTGAGGAGTGTTTATCCTTAACCATAGAGCTGAGGGTGTAACAGCTTTTTCAATCCCTGGTTTGAACTGGTCCCAGCCATATGCCTGTAAAATTATGTCCGTTTTCTTTTTAAGTTTGTTAATGCGTATCCTCGGGCTCTCTGCAAACTGTATCGATTGCTTGCGATGCCTTATTGTTATTATACAGTCGGACACAGATAACAAGAACATGGGAATACTCGAAATCATTGATAGCTCATACAGTTCGCCATTTCCTGACTGATATCTCTTTAATTTTTTTGTTATATTGGTTGCCCGAATTATGGATGTGTCAAACATGTTTGTCAATCCCTGATGTGTTTTGATTGAGTTATCCGTGCCCGACTATATGTGGAAAGAGTTCTGGTGCTTTTTTGGTTTTTATTAGTAGTTCACATTTTATTTTTTATTCCACTGACATGGTAACAACAGATTCAAAGAACCAAATATAGTAATACCTGCTGGTTTGTCTGATATATTGCAGGTGAACTTGCCACTGTCTGTAGAGACCTTACACGAACTACCTGATGGGTTAAGACTTCAGGCTGCCATCTCCTCAGCACAACAGTACGAAGCAAATAACCCAAATTGGTTTGAAGAGAACTTTGGTAGCGCCACACCCATCTTGGCAACCACAGCCTGTATTTCTCACACTGATTCAGACTACGGCTCTCTAGGCCCAATGCAGTCTGTGTCCTCCCAGGATGTAAATACGAGCGACTACATGGGCAGTCCAGCATCTGTGTTCGACTATCCGCCAGATTTCGGTTTGTACCGCCATCCATCAACACGTTCGAATCCTGACATGTACTCAAATGCACTTCACGAGTACGGCGTACAGAGGCCTCGAGGGGGTGGCTCTCAGCGCATGCCACGTCAGCAGAAGGAGTATGTGCCCAGTGTGTTTACGCTCCACAGCGATGTGAATGATATGGATAAGGTGCAGCAGACAGGGGACGCTGCTGGCCCAATCCGGCCTCCAGAGACCGTCTCTGACGTTGGCACAGACGTTATGAGCAATGCTCTACGTAATGTCAATGCCAGACACGAGTGGGCGGCCATTCCACCATCTGTCTCGAGGACCACATCACCGGCCAGTAGAGAGCAGTGGCGTGATGATGAAATGAGCCGTCCATGGCATCCACCTCAAGGCATTCGACCCCCCTTCGAACTGAGCAGCATAAAGCCCCCACAGCCGTGCTCTGACATGAGTAGTGACTGTATGAGTTTAGCATTTCAGCGAGTCAATGCCTCATCTGACGCCATTTTCCTGGATCAAGCGCCACGTCCACCCCTGGAGGAGGTGATAGAGGAAGACAGTTTTCATGGAAAGGAACAGGAATTTGATGCTATTAGCGTTTAACTTTTTCCTTGATAAGCCAGCATTTTCTGTTTCATCACTTTGACCATGGAATGGTAACAAAGAAGGATGAAGGACAAGAATGCGTGTGTAACCAAGGCTGCAGGATGCTAAAAGTCATTCCCAGCCACATTTGTTGGGTTTTACAGCCATTTTATGATGTCATACATAACTCATCTTATACCATGTTTACATTTTTTAGCTGACCTGTTGCACAATATGACTCTTTGCCAGAACTTTTTCTAAAGGCCTAACATCTTTACTGTATAAAGTTCATTTTAAAACATGTTGAGTTCTTGGCCAAACTGTTAAGCAGTAAGACTTTTGTCAGAAGCTGATGATTTTTTAAACATTTGAGTGCAGTGCAGACAAACTCTTCCGCTGCTAATGATTTTTGCTTGGCCATGCCAAACAACACACATGGCTGTGATCAGCCTGAAAAAGATATTTCTGCATTAAATTCAATGTGTGTTTGGGCATTTTTGTGCAAAACTGGAGGGATTCACTTGTTGCAGATTTCATCTCAGCACTCAGGTGGTTAAAAGTCCAAGTTCCTGGATGTGGCCAAAAAAATGCCAAAAATGGTACCCATGCAGTGAAGGCTTCGAGTCTTGTCTAAGAGAACCTCAAACATTTCACTTAACGTGGCCCACCTGTTTTCCACCTGTGTGTGAGAATGAAGATATCTGGGCCATCCCATGTTAGATGTATCTTTAATTCTCTTGTGGTAATGGAGATAAAAAGTGGGGATCATCATTATGCAATCTTGTCATTATGCAATTATTTTAGGCGGTATGATATTACTTTTTTCATTAACACTTTACTTTTTGCTTTATGTTCCTACAAACGTAAGAATGTGTAGTGTAATTAAGAAGCAGTGTTGATTCGGAATTGGTAACAGGGTTTTTCACTGTGCAGCTGAATGAGAAGGAAGTAAAGAATGCGAAAAAGGTACGTCTGAATTTATGAGAGAGATTCATTTTGCTGCCTAGAAGTACAACAGGCATAATTCGTCATTTCTTTTGTGTGCATTACAAAAACGTATTCAGAAAATAATTTTATTGTCTGTTTTCCCCTGACAAATGTGGTACATGTATACAATCTGCTTGTCCAAGAGACAGTTGCACAAGTGTTTGTACTGGCATTGACAACCTGGTGATTAGAAATGGCATTCTATCTTCATGAATTACTGTTTATGATAGATTGCTCCGTTCACATGCTAAAATGTGTGGGAAAGTTCAAAGAGCAGGGTATAAAAAAATCTTTAGTCTCCTCAAAAGAGAATTTTATTTTTTATTTTTTTTATTGAATCAAAAAAATGCAGTGTAAACTGCCATCTCTATGCGTGCCATTGATAACATCTGAGGATATAGACGGTCTGTTGCAAGGTCCTTGGAACTGTTGATTTGTTGATGAACACTGTGTTGAATTTATGTGCTGTGCTGTTATAGAATTTTTTTATGCTGTTACCTTAACAATTTTATGTGTTATTTCGAGTTCTTATTAATATGAAATTTTTGTTTCTTAAAATTTTGCAAATTGAAAACTTGCACTGCGTTCCATTTAAAAAGCACTGATAGAGCCAGAAATGCCTGCTTGCATTGTTGAAAAATTTTAAAAAAAACCAACAGCCCATCTTTTGCTTCCTCCCACTCACCCACCCACCCATCTCTCTCTCTCTCTCTCTGTTACTGTCTCTGTCTTTGTCTCTGTCTGTCTGTCTGTCTGTCTGTCTGTCTGTCTGTCTGTCTGTCTGTCTGTCTGTCTGTCTCTCTCTCTCTCTCTCTCTCTCTCTCTCTCTCTCTCTCTCTCTCTCTCTCATTCATACACCCAAGCAGACATGGACAGAACACGAACTCCCATTACAATTTGATCAAATCTAGAATATTCAAGTGCTTTGCCCAGTCTACCAGTAATTTTGTGTCTTTTTTCTGTTTGCAATAGTTTGCTATTGTCAATCCTGTGTAGATGTAGTATGATATCATCATTGTCATGTCCAAATCTACTGTCTGCAATTTTAATATTCCATATTCAGGTTGCATTAGTGACTTGACTATGCTTCATTTCCCCCAGCAAAAAATTTCTTTCATTCAGCTGCTGCTGCACATTTTCCTTGTACCTGCAGATTCTGAATTTATGGCCTTTTCAGTGAAAAAAACAGTGGGGGTGGGGAGGTGTTGGGTTTAACAAGGATTGTCCTGTTAGATGTTCCTATTTGAATACTTCAATGGAAAAACGACTGTAGTCACAAACTGAAAATCGTTAGGGTACCAATTTTGAACACTTGTTGACTCATAACTGTACTTCTTTTCAACTGTTGGTTGATTATTATTGTTAGATTTCCCATTCAGAACAGTACTACTTAACAATAAAAATCTAATCAAACAAGTATGAAGTTATGCTTCAACAAGCTTTTAAACTTGGCGCCCTCACAATTTCCAGTTTGTCACTACAGTCGTTTTTCCCCAGTGCTTTTCATTTAGAATTGGAGATTTGAACGTGACAATAATGATATACATTATGATAATGCATACCCCCTACAATTCACATGTACAGGTTTATTGAAGTTTTAAATGTTGCTGTTTACACAAATTTACTGCTGTTATATCCTTTTAATATTTCTTATCAATGAATTTACTTGTGTGTGCCAAATTCATTTATCAATTCTATGATTTCTCAATAAATGCTTTTGCTTGTGTATGTGATTGTTTTAGGGTAAACACACTACTTACAAACATACAGTTGCCACAATGGGTCTTTTAGGGAACAAAGCACACTTATAATTGAATGGACAAAAAAGAGATAGTTTTGTTTAACTTGAAGATGAACTGTTGAACTGTACGTTATGCTGTACTTGTGTTATTTTTTGGGTTATCAGTTATTTCTATCATTGCTGTCTTGATTTGTTTCCTGGAAAAGGAAAGAAAGTGTTGAGAAATGCTTTTCATGTTTTTGTTGACTTTGATATTGAATCCTCCTTGGCCATATTACCGTATTGCTATCGTCCATGCTCACTCACGGCTGAGCTGAATCTATCATGTTCATTGTAAGACGGATGTTGGACTACGACGTTAACGGACACTGGACCCTTTGTAGAACGTTCATGACAATTTGTTGTAGGAAACCACGTAACCCCATCTGCTTACATTGTTTCTCTTTTTCTTACAAATGATCAATGATTCTTCTGTGGTATCTTCAGTCTTTCTTATGTCTTGTTGTGTTGTTGCTCCACGATGGTGTTCTGGTGCAGTACTGTTTTGCATGTTCCTTAACGTGGGTGATTGTATATATTTAAATTAGCCCTGTTTTTGTACAAAAATTAAACTTGTCTTTTTCTTTATGACAATGACTTAACCACAGAAGTCGTAGATATGTTCTTTTGGGTCGTCTCTGTTTATTATGATCATGTATACCTACATACCCCTGGTGGGTCATGTTAAGTCAGCCAATAATTACTCATTTAATATATTACCTGTTGTAGGATTACATTGGTAGAGAAATATGAACACATGTCTTTTCTTTCTCAGATATCCTTCAAGTTGTCTGCCCTTTTGTTCTCCAATAGTCTAGGAATTGCTGTTGGTTATGATTCAGAACCAATAAAATTCAAAGACTAATAGGATCAATTTACTGTTGTTTTAGAGCAGGGGTGTCAAAATCAATCGCACTCGGGGGCAAACTCAAATTTTACACTTAAGGTTGCGGGCCGACCTGGACAAACATTCATTGAGCTGCGGAAAACTAAACCTTTTTTTAAAACAATAATATGGATTAAAGTCATAATAATAACAAATCGAGGCATACCAATTTTTCCTCTTATGCCAGTTTGTCAGAGCTAGATGTTTAGCACCTTTTTTTTAGGCAACCAGTTCGCTAAATGTTTGGACCTAAGGATTACCTGTAATGCTCTTGTTGGTGGGATATAATTGTTTGCCAGGCCGGATGCTGCCCCTTGGGCGAGTTTGACACTTATGTTTCAGAGGATATTCAATTAAAGCTTCAGCTTTTGTCCTGACTACATGTCCAGAAGTTGCTCAAAGTATTAACCCATTATCTCTGAGTGGCCGATAGCACAGGCCAGTGAGGTGGTCATGTTTGGATGAGTGGCTTGTGCCACCGACCGATAAGAGCGCGATAGTTTACTTCCAAATAATATCAGTACATTCATAGTATGACTAGTATTCTGTACATAGATGTTAGATTTTTCTCTAGGGGGAGGGGGGGGGGGGGGTCTGTTCAATTGATTGGTTGATAGTTTAACTTAAAAAAAGAAGTTTTTCAATCAGGCATTGTTTCAGTTTATGGATGTATGTTAATGATTTCCAAGCTCAGCTGATTGCACAAAGATGGCTGTAACTTTGCCAACAATTATCTTTTTACCATGAAAATTGACATGCACTTTCAGAAGTGGATGTAGATTGACTGAATTAAATATTTTAGAAATAATTCTATTGCAATTTATATTTTTACTTTGCTGGTGATTCGCAGATTTGACTTCTTTTTTTTTTTTGCACTGTTTGCTTTTGGTCCGGTTTGTACTATTTCCATGAATTACAATTTGATTGATATTTTGGCTCAGCAGTTTACTTAGTCTGATTCTACATTCATTTCCCTTTCTAATGAGGTATAAAACGCTGGTGTTGCTTAATTTGGGGACAAAATTTATAGCCCACTGTGTAAATGGCCCTGTGTTCCATTTTGACTGACCAGAATTAAATTCCGTCCAAGCGCGGAAAAAACATTCGGAGACAAAGGGTTAAATGAAATGTCTCAATGATTAATTCCATTGTATGTCCATTGGCAAGATAGAAAATTAGTTTTTTTCTACTTCGCTAGTCTAAGATTCCTCTCAAACTGCAGGGTGGATCAGACTTTGTGCTCTCTCCCTTCAAATATTTGTAAATATCTTTAATTTTTTGTTTTAAAAAAATACAATTGACATTTTATGTCATCTTTTACTTCCCCTTCCCCTTCCTCTTTGACTTTCAATTGTAAATAGCTTCTGAAATTGACAGTGGGAAAAGATGAGTACCATTTATCAGCTTCCTTGTCTGTACAGACAGAGTATAGTTTGATGCGCTAAATGGGAGAAAATTGTGAAAGTGATGTCACTCTCACAGTCAGCTCTGCCCATCCCGTGACTACGCATTGTCAGTCTCTGAGGTTGGTTGTTGCAAGGCAGCTGTCAGATTGAATAATAATAATCTACTTTTTATTTCAGGGTACAGAAAGTGGGCCGTTGGCGGGTGCTCTGGTGTGGTTTGCTCCTTCTTTCCTATCAAACATCTATCGTCCTTATCTCCCCTTCTTCTTTTTTATGTTCTGTTTTGTTTTAGTAGAGGTTTTATGGTGCTCGCAACTGCATAAGGTCATATGAGCGCCAAGGGGTGGACGTCAACAGAGAAGGCCTTACAAGGAATCAGACTTACTCTGCTCACATCTTTAACTTCAGCAGCACAAAGTCTGCTTTGACTATCAAGGCACCCCGCAAATAGCGGGTCACAAGAGAGTGACAAACATGCAAAAGAAGTAGAAGAAACATGACGATAGTAAGGATTAGGAAAGAAAAAGCAGCAGTTCCCTGTTGTAGTTCAGGCACAGTTATGAGCATGACATTGTTGGATCAGCCCATTTACAATTCTACTGTGCATTAGAACGAGAAATGTCCCCCCTTTCGGAATGGCCTTCAGTCAGTGGCACGGCCCAGGGTTTTATTTGGGTTTTTTTAATGTATGTTACTCCCTTGTAACACTTCTACTCTTCTGGCGCTCATATGACCTTATGCAGTTGCGAACACCGTAAAACCTCTACTAAAACAAACAAAAGGGTACAGAAAGTTTCAGCTTTTCGAAGCAGAAAAAAACAAACCCCCAACTAAATACTAAATGGGCAGGAAGAAAATTTGGACCAATTTGTGTAAAATATAATTGATTGAAATACAGTAAGAAAATTTACTGATTGGAATTATGTAAGGAAATGACACTGTGCGGTGCTGTACATAGGTCCTCGTTTAAAAAAAATTATGTTTCTATGAAGAGTGTGGCCCTTGTAGACATAGATATAGGTGTTTGGCGGGTTCTCTGGTGTGGTTTGTTCCTTCTTTCCTATCGAACATTTATCTTCCTTTTCTCTCCTCCTTTTTTTGTGTTCGTTACTTTCTTGTAACACCTCTATTCTTAGGCATGTATATGGCCTTATTGTGTTGCAAGTGCCGTTCTTACTTAAATTAAAGTAGACATAGAATATACTTGAATTAAATTATTCTTTTTCAAGGTATAACAGAATAATATCAAATTACCCGAAATTATTCCAACAGGACAGATGTTCAGGTATGCAGGGCTACAGTCTCTTAGAATAGAGTTTGCTATTATTAGCTTATTTACTTGTGCAGCATATGACTGGTGTTGGCAATGTGGTTCAAACTCATTTCTGACCTTTCTGAAAGTTGTTTTTGAGGAGTTTGACGCCATTATTGAAGATGGAATTGTGTGACGAATCCCGACCATTTTATTTTAATATATCTAAATGACTGTTTTTAAATTCTGCCTATTCTGTTTTAGATGGTAAAAATTTATCAGCAAAAATTTAATAATGGAAAGTAGGGGGGGGGGGGGGGGGTATTCT